GAAGCCATCACTTCTTTCCCATTCACAAGGGCCAATATCTTAATTCAGTCGCTCAAATCCTTTTCATTGAATACTCCGGGGCGTGTCCTCAGGAGAGACCAGTTCCCAGAAAAAGCTTGCGTGCTTGGCGACGTAGAAGACCCTCAACGTGGTGGCTGCAGCAGTGGGCTCACACATCACAACAACTATTTTTGCCAGAACAAACGTGCTTGCCAGGGCAGGGCACATTTTTGTTCCCTGTACCCAGGCTTGCAATGGGTTGAAGCCAGCTTGAAGGCACCTGACAGCAAGCGCCCCGGGGAGCCGTCCTGCCCTGCCCTGTGCGGGTTCTGAGTCGGCACCGGCTGGGAAACAGTGGGTCTAGCTGTGGTCCTTCAGGAGCCCGGTCCTAGTGGCTGCATGCGGTGTCTCAGGCAGTGGTTACTTTTCATTGTGGTGCTTGTTCATAACAATTAATTTGTCGAGATGAAATGCTGCGGTGATTCTTGATTGAGCAGCACCTGTTCTTTTTGTTTATGGAGTTACAGTTTTATTTGTTGTTTTGCCCTGTACTGCAAACATAAATCACGTTTTCTACATTAGTTTCAGTCAGGAGTTACGGTATAATTCCTAGTGTTTGTATGACCATTGTCCTTCTTGGACATTGTCCTTCTATGGTTTGTCTCATCAGAGGAAAGAGAATTTTTAACGAACTCTTTTCAGCAGGCATGGTGATTTTTAAGGTAAGTATGCGGAGGAGAAACACAAGTGTATGTAAATGACTCCAAATCCTTAAGGTGCCAAGCGCTTCTTCACAAAAAAAGTTCACAAAAGCAGCTCCCTCTCCCCCCACTGAACTCCATTCTCTCAGGGGGCTCGGTGAAGGCTAGCCAATCTGACGCAGGTGTAGCCGCAGCCCCATGGACTGGCCCTGGGCAACAAATAGCCAATGGCAACCCATGAGGATCCCAGTGAGAGAAACCAACCCTTGAAGAAAACTTCTGGCTTGAACTTTCCAGCAGTTCGGAGCGGCTGAAATGGCCATCGAAGCCTGACTAGGTCTCCAGGCCGTCATCCACCCCGTCATAGTAGGAAAGGTGGAGATGGTACTGCCAGCCAGGTCCACGAGGAAGAGGTTCATGGGACTCTGTTTGAGGGGTCGCAGGGTGAGATCCGTGGTACTTCTCGACCAGGATCTGGTCTGTCTCTTGCACGCTGGAATAAGGCACTTGCTTGTCCAAGTAACCAGCTAGGTGCGGGGAGTCTGCCTGGGCACAGCCCCGGTCACTTCAGTCCCTGCTGCTTCCCCCAGGCCTGCTTAGTGCAATGGCCCACTTGAAGCACTGGCCTCTGTTGGCCACCAGTCCCCCTTGGGCCATCTTGGCAATCACTTCCTCCCAAAGCCACCAAGCCTCTCCACAGCAACTCGCTGACCATAAAACCCACTATCGATCGACAATGAATCCTTCTGATGCTCTCAACCAACCTTGTTCTCAAAACCAAACTCACTGCCATCGCATCAGTTCTGACTCACAGTGAACCCACAGGGAGGCTAGACCTGCCCCTGTGTGTTTCCGAGCCTGTAAATCTTTACAGGAGCAGAAAGCCTCATCTTTCACCTGCAAGAGCGGCTGGTGGATTTGAACTGCTGACCTTGTGGTTAGTAGTCCAACAGGTCACCCACTATGCCACCAGGGCTTCTTCCTTGTTTTCAAGAGTGATACAAACAGTTCACAGGATTGGCTGCTGGCTTGGTTATCTAGGGCTGCTATATTAAAAATACCAAAAGTGTGTAACTTTAATGAACAGAAATTTATTCTCTTGGAGTTTAGATGGCTAGAAGGGATCCCTGGGGCTGTAGTGGGCTATGTGTAAGGCTGTTAACTACAGGGTTCAAAACCACTAACTTCTCCTTGAGAGAAAGATGAGGCTTTCTACACCCATATACGTGTACTGTCTCAGAAACCCACAGGAGCAGCTCTACCCTGTCTTAGGGAGTCACTATGAGTTGGAAATGACCCAATAGCACTGAGTTTGGGTTTTGAAAGGTGTCTCACTCAACTCACTCTCTCCAGTCAATGCCGACCCAGAGCGACCTACGGCCTTTCGTCGCTCATTACAGTGAGTGAGACTGGGAAAATTGTTATCCACCCACCATTCAGAGGAGGAGACTAAGGCTCTTGGAGGTACTGCTACTTGCCCAGCATTGCATCAGTTAAATATTAGCACTGGGATTTGACCTTTGGTCTCTAAAGCCCAAATCCCATATCCTTTTTGACCTGTTTTTTTTTTTTTTTTGCCCTACATAGGAAGGGACCCCCATCCTTTCGCACCCGTAGCATACCAGTGGTGATCTGATGTGATCTTAGTGATCTAGTGCTGCTGCACCAGGAATACCACAAGTGCATGGCTTCTTCCCTCCCTGCCATGAGTTGATGCCAATTCATAGCAATTCTATAAGAAGGGGTAAAACTGCCCCTGTGAGTTTCCAAGACTGGGCCTCTCGGTGGGAGTGGAAAGCCCTCTCTTTCTCACGAGGAGAAGCTGGTGGTTTGGGACTCCTGACTCTGAGATTAGCAGGCCAACAAGTAACCACCAGGCTCCTGAGAGGTGGCTAGAAGCCTGAAGTCAGGGTTCTGGCTCTAGAAAGGTTTTCTCTTTGCGTCAGCTCTGGAGAAAGATCCCTGTCTCTTCTGAGCTTCTGTTCCCGAGCAGCTTCCATGTAGCTTGGCATCTCTCCCCAAATCTGCTTATTCATTTGCTTGATTAATCTTTCATCTCTCAGAGAGATTGACTTAGACACCCTCTTCACTAACACTGTCTGCCATAACAACGAAAGGCCATTCCCAGACCGTGCGACAACCCCAGGTAGAAAGAGGTTAGGATTGACAACCTATATTTGAGGAGGGACATAATTCGGTCCAGAATAGCTAGCTACTAACCACAAGGTTGGAGGTTTGAGTCCACCCTGAGGTGCTTCGGAAGAAAAGCCTGGGAATCTACTTCCCAAAATCTAGCCGTTAAGAACCTTAGGGAGTACAGTTCTAGCCTGGTATCCTTAGAGTGACCATGGATCAGATTCGACTTGATGTCTGTTGTTGCCATCCAGTCAGTGCTGACTCAGTGATCCCTGTGGGTTTCCAAGTCTGTCACTGTTTACCGGAGCAGAAAACCCGGAGGTGCTGGGGGCTTCAAACTGCCGATCATGCAGACCGCAGCCCAACTCGTAAGCACTGCACCACCAGGGCTCCTGATACCTATTGGTCTCTGGTTAAGCCAACCTTGCTCCCAAGAGGCAGTCTGTACAGAGAAGGCCTCTTGGGGAGCAAACCACTGAGCCGCAATCCATGATGAGGAACCAGCATATGCACCTTCATTTAAGAACAATTGTTTTACTGGTCGGCCCCACGGCCCCTTTTAGCACTTTAAGTAGTGTTGGTCCTGTTCGCTTGTTCTGTTTGGTTGGTTTTTTATTCTTGGTCTTGTTGCTGGTTGGACACTCAACTATTAGCTATCGTCGTTGTTCCCTTATATGTAATCCTTTTATCCCCTCTTTTTTTGAAGCTTTCTCTCTTTTTTCCCAGTGATAAGTGTAGGTTTTCTTTGGGTTCACTGAGCTTCGAATCTGTAGGTTTTCTGTTTCTCATCAGATTTGGGGAGTTACCAGCCAGTGTTTCTGCAGTGTTTGTCCTGTCCCATGCACTCTGTTCCTCTCGTACATGTGCATGTCTCGTGGGCTGTTGGTACTTCCCCGGGCATCGAGTGCCTCTTCCTGTGGTTTTCAACGTAGACTTCAGACGGTCTCTATTGCCGGTCTTCATCCTGTGCGTGGACCTCTGTCTTTCTTGTGCCCAATCTACTGAAACAATAATGGTTTTATTCCAGGGACTGTGTTTTCCACTTTGAGGACATCATTTAGTTATTTCTATTTATGTTGTATAAAGAGTTTTCTTCCCTCTCCTGAAATTTCTCCCTCTTTACTTACTAAATCCATCTTTTTCCTGTAGCTTCTTTAACTTATTTATTTCTTAAACATTATGATATCAAACCTACCCATTTACTTTCTAGGATAAATGTAAATAGTGACAGAAGTAATCCCTCTTCTTGAATGCCGGCCATTGAGGGGATGTCTGTTATGGCAGTGCTAAGAACTAAGATAAGGCGCCATCGCCAGTTCAAAACTGGATCCTTTCACTCTCTCCCACCTGAGCATCCCTTTGCATTTCCATCATCTCTCTCCTCCAATGGAAGTCTTTCTTCCCTCTCTCCTGCACCACTTCAAGACTCTCCTATCTGCTTCCCTTGACTCTCCCTTCACCAGCCTTTCCTATCAGCCGTGCCCACACTAATCTACAAGGCCATAGATGGCTGACACCATTCTCTCATCAAAAATCTTCCAGAGTGGTGTAAGATAAAAATTCCTTGGTCCGTAATTTATGGCTTCTGGTAACAGTTGAGTGGCTTCTAAGGGACTAACTAACTCTCCTGCCAGCAAAACTAATAAACTCTGTAGAGAACACTTAAAAACCAACTGTTTGGAGGCAGGAAAGCGCAGCCTAAAGCAAGCGTTAATTGGAAGGGATTCAGCCCTTGAAATAAGGAAGACACACTCAGTTAGGTCCAGATAGATGGGGCTGAGGGCATTCTCCAGTTTGTACATCCACATCACGGGGGAAACAGAACTCAGACAGAAGCCCAGTCTGATTGCCTTAAAGAATCACAGAGTGGAGTTTGAGCTTACCAGAGACAGTGGTTGGTAAGAGGTGGAAATTCCAGAAAGAAGGAAGACGAGAATGAAAACATGAGTCCACACAGCAACTTGGGGGTCAGTTGGGAAACACTCATCATCCTTCCAGCACCAAGGTCTGGTGTGGGGAAGGAATCGGGGGGAGAGGCCACAAAGAGAGGTGCAGTGCTTGGACCTGCTTCAGCACCGACTCTCCGGGCCTGGTCTTGAGGACGGTGAAGGTTGAGCAGTCGGTTATCCTTGTTACTAACTGCGTTGCTTTCTCTTTCCAAAGGTCAAATGGATGATGTACTGGATTATATTTGCACTTTTCACCACGGCAGAGACGTTCACAGACATCTTCCTTTGTTGGTAAGTACTTGTGTTAGTCTGGGTTGACTAGAGAAACAAATTCATAGGCACTCATATGTGTATAGGAAAGAGCTTTATATACCAGAGCAATTGAATATTGAGAAAACCTCCCAGCCCAGTCCAGATCAAGTCCATAAGTCTAATATTAGCCCCATATATGTCCGATACCAGTCTATAGGTTCTTCTTCAGATTCAGGCAACACATGCAGTGACACCAAATGCAGGAGAATCACAGGCCGCTGGGTGTAAATCTTGTGAATCCAGTGGCGATGGAAGCAACTCAATGCTGAGGTAGGTTTCCATGTGGCTCCTCCAGCTCCAGGGCTCTGGCTGCCATCAGTGTAGCTCCATGTGGCTTGTCAACAGGCATGTCTCACAGGGAGACAAAGCAGAGAGTCTGTGTTGTGTACCCTGCCTCCATGGAGGAAGACAGGATTCCCAGGAGAAGGCCATGCCCACACAGAGGCCTCATTGGCTGTGACCTGATTGACAGGCTAGACTCCACCCCTTCACAAGTTGACAGATTATGTAACTGCCACAGTACTCCAGGCCCTAGGGCGTTCATGGAAAGATTTTGCCTAGTCTCAATGGAGAAGTGGGAAGTAGTTAAAACCAGCATTAGACTTTACCTTACCTCAGATCTGACATGGAGGTGCAGGGGTATTAACTGGAACATTTCAAACAAATTAGCTTGTAAAAGTTATTCTTGCAGTAAATACTTATTGAACAACCTTGTTCTAAGTATTGAGGTTTGAGTGATGGACATGACAGAGAATTATGAAGTGACTATTGATGCATGATAAAAGAATTTTTGGACAAAGGCAAAACCCTATCCTCTACTAAGACTTTGTTCATTCTCCCACTATATCAGTGGTTCTCAACCTTCCTAATGCTGTGACCCTTTAATACAGTTCCTCATGTTGTGGTGACCCCCAACCATAAAATCATTTTTGTTGCTACTTCATAACTGTACTTTTGCTACTGTTATGAATTGGGCAACTCCCGTGAAAGTGCCATTCGACCCCTAAAGGGGTCTCGAACCACAGGTTGAAAAACGCTGCACTATAGCTTGTAGATGGGGAACCTGTTTGTTCTCCCGCGAGGTGGTAAACTAGGGAGGGGTGTTTCACCGGGCTTTCGTTGTCCCTGTAATTCCTAGCACACACTTTCACCTGCGAGGGTTCTCAATGGATTTTTCTGAATGAACCAGTTAATGTAAGAATGAATCAATCAAGAACGAATGGCCATTTTCTGAGTAGAAAAGTGGGACAGGAAAAAACAAGCTTGAGGAAAGAAAATGTAATAATGGCTGATAACAGTATAATGCAATCTTGAAGTTCTGGCTCTGCTAATAAGAAAAGACCCGTACACACATGTTAAATCAGAGTTGTAGAGAAGTCAGGGATCAACATGCTGTGATCTCTCTCATCTTGAGGAACAGACCCGTTCCTGTAATCCGCTGGGTTGGGATCTCCCTGGCCCCCAGGGAGGAGCAGAGGAAAGTCCGGCACCCAAGGTGAATCAGGAATGCAGAGTAAGGCTCTTTTGTGCCAGGCCAGCACGACCTGGAAGGGCAGTACTCCACAGGGGCGGAGCCGGGAGCCACCCCAAAGAAGAGTACTACTCCAGCTTGTCACGAGAGTTGCTTCACCGACCAGACACAGGAAAGCCGGAAGGCTAGGAGATGGGAGGTTTCCAAAGACTGCATTAATGAAGACGAGGCCCAAAGAACAAAGAGGGTCTGTACAAGCGGGCCAGAGAATCAGTGAGGCGCAGGCAGCCCGTAGGGGCCACTGGAGAACCAAGGTCACCCTCCAAGCTGGTGGTTCCAAACTACTGGCCCTTTGGCTAGCAGGCCAACCTCGTAACCACTTTGCCACCAGGCCCCTCGGAAGACTACATACGAAACTGGTAATAGTTACTGCTTTTATATATTTTTAGTTTCTGTTTTTAGTGCCTGCTTTTAGAAAGGGGACTAGGGACCAAGGGAGCGAAAGAAACCCTTGTTAGTATTCTCTTTGGACTTTGAGAATGAAGCTGTCTGCTTCCTTGAAGACCTAACAGCCTAAGAAGTCCTCGTGGAGCCACTCACCATCAGAAATGACTTGCTGGCAGAGGGCTGGGGCCCCGCGCTGCCTCTCTTTAAAAGGATGCATACGTCTTTTAGGTGATAAGAAGGGTGCAGTGAGACAGGCTCTTTTGGAACAATCTATATGTCTTGGGCTGATGTCCGACCTTGCCACATTCACTTATTTACCACTTGGGGTTGGCAAACAGTTGTTTTCCAACCAAAATTTCCTCCTTAATTGCTAGAGTATTCAAATCTGGGAGAATCACAGCCTCTGTTATTTTTAGCGCGTGTTTCTCTTCTGGCTGTGAAACATCAAATATATCTTGTCATGAAAGTGGTCCCTAGTTTCTGGGGGGCATATTCAGGGCAAGCCTGTCAGAGGCAGGAAGCAGGAGACCTCGATGATGAAAGGAGGAATGAATAAAGTGGCTAATTTAGCAAAGTCCTAGTGCAACGACTCCTACTGGCACTGTCGGATAAAAGTTGGTCTGCTAACTGCAGGGTCGGCGGTTCAAACCCACCAGCTACTCTGAGAGAGAAAGATGAGGCTATTGGCTCCTGTAGAGCTTTATACCCGATAGAGGATTTCTGTGTGTTGAAATTGACTTGCTGGCAGTGGGTTTGGGTTTCTGGGTGTGAGAAGGAGTTAAAGGGCTCAGAACTGACTTTTTTCAAAACTGCTTTTGATTTCAAGCCTCTTTGTTTTCTAGGAGGGAGGCTGCCTGGGAGGGATTTCCTTTGCTGATGCTTCAGGCTAGCACAGGTCTTGTCATCTACACCGACAGAGCCCATCCTTTTCCCTCTTAGCAGCAGGAGTGATTGCTAAAGGGAGCCTGGGCACCTGGCTTGCTTTGACAAGAAGATAGAGAGACCTCGAGATGGTGTTGCATGTGTGTATGTCTGTGCACACTCCTCCACGCGTGGAGCAAGGACCGGTGGTGGGTGCAGGCAGAAGGGGAGTCTGGGCAGTACGGCCCAGAGCTAACTGGTTGTGTGTTTTCTTCTCCCCCTCCAGGTTTCCATTCTATTACGAACTAAAAATAGCATTTGTAGCCTGGCTGCTGTCTCCTTACACAAAGGGCTCCAGCCTCCTGTACAGGAAGTTTGTACATCCCACGCTGTCTTCAAAAGAAAAGGTAGCGTACCCAGCCCAGCCTTTCACTCCTCCCAGCGAGGGACCCAGGGGAGGGCGCGGGCAGCTGGCAGGCCAAGGAGAGATGACAGGATTGCAGGAGACCTCCCAACAAGTTGTTCCTTGTAGTCTTACAGTTTGCTTTCTTGCCCTTTTTTCCTGGTTAGACATAGTGGTAAAATGCTCGATAAGAGTGGTGCCTCGTTATTGACTCAGACATTCCCGTTAGTTGGAACAAAGTAAAGACAAACTTCAGTCACGATTCATCATCCCGTCTAAACTGAATCATCTCCCTTTTGTCACATCAAGCCCCTCTCCTTTTGCAGACATGGTTTTTTCCCCTGAAATTTTACCGAGACTTTTTTTTAAATAAACGCTTAAAACGTAACACAGACACAATATTTGTATGTTGAGATCTTAAATATGTTTGCACATAATAGATTTCTACTTGGTCCTCAATGATCTACAATGGAACTGCCCTCAGTACTTCCTCGGTTTGATTTTCTGTCTTAGAATGAATTCTCAGGAGCGGATTACCGGGTCATAAGATTCCAACATTGGATAATTTGTTAACTATAATAAGACTGTTTTATGTCACTCTCAGATAAAACAGAAGCACTGTTCACGTGTTGGTATGCTAATTTCTATTGTTGTTAAATATTAGCTGCTTTGGACTTTGGTGGGGAAGGCTTTGGGGAACATCACAATTGGATGAGCAGGCTACTATAAACTTCTCTTCAGGAAGGATATCCGTGGCCCCTCTCATCTGAAAAGGGTGGATGAGGAGCCACGGGGAGCTTGCTCTTGACCTGGTTATCAAAGCCCTACGCATTCTACTTCCTGTTCCTGGAAGGTTGGGCTCACCATGAAGCCAGACAGTGTCACTTTCATTGAAGAAAAGGTGTCTGGCTCTTAAGAGCTGCCAAGAATCACTTCTGGAGTCAGTCAGAGGTCATAATTGGGGGACTTCCTAGGGACGCTTTAAACCAGGAATGGAGCTAGGAGGTGGCCAACAGCCCCTGCCACCCTCACAGCGCAGGAAATGCACTACCGTGCTGAATTGCAACTGAGACGGGAGGCCAAGTGTCATTCTCTTACCCAGCTCTGAGTGGGAGCCCACAGCATCCATTTGCATACACCACCAACCACCACCACTACCACCACCACCCCAAGCCAAGGATTTGAATAAACTCCTCAGTCCAAATTTGAACACAGGCAATTCTGGTTTCTGCTTTCAATGTAGCATCTGTTACATGACTCCACCCCCACCCCACCTCCGCCCTTACTAATAAAAACAAATCCCATTTCTCTCTGCCTTCTGATCTCTCCCACCGGTGTGCATTCAGACAGGAGTCTCCAAAAGTCCATGGAAAAATTTCATGATCTATCGTTTCATTCCATTTTCCCACAAACTTTTCACCGCCGCCGCCGCCCTCCTTTTAGAACGAGATAACCGAATTTTAGTGCCACGTGGGCTCCGAGGCCCTCAAAGGGAGGACGGCAACAATGGCCATCAGCCATGGAGGCTGGCCACTCTGAGAGATGCTCTACTTGCATGAGGCTCTCGGGGCCTGCACAGCCCTCCACGAGCTGTGACCGTCAGCACCCAGATTTCTTAGAAGGCAAAAAGGCATGCAGAAAGGCAAAGTACAAAAATAATAATAATAATTAATCAACTTTTAAAGAAGACAGACAGAAAGGCGACACACTTCCCAAGGTCTGACAGCCAGGTCGTGACAGGTGGAGACCAGACACCGAGTCTCCTCATCATTCCCACCCCAGCTTCTTTCCCTGTGTGTTGAGTGGCGAGATGGCCCACATCCAGGTGCCCCTTAGATCTCGCTGGAGGGCGAGGGGGATTGAGATACAATCCTAGGGTCGTTCTCAGAGAAAGATTTCTGCGTCAGCAGGTTGCTGCTTTATTTATTTATTTTTGAAATTCCTTTGTCAATGTATTTATTTTTGAAATTCCTTTGCAAATTCCCCAAATGTACTCCTGAGTCTGAGTAGTGCAACTGATGAACGCCATCAGCCACTAACCAGAAGGTTAGATGCTGAGAGTCACCCAGAGGTACCTGGCAAGACCAGCCTGGAGAGGACTCCTGAAGGATTAGTCACGGACCACCCCACGGAGCACACTTCTCAGCACACACGGAGTCTCCGTGAATCGGTCAACTCGACGGAAGAAATGGGTGTGGCTTGCTATGGCCTCTTTTCCTTTCCTCATCTTCCTGTATGCGCGCACGCACACGCGTAGGGCTTTCGGGTCGCAGTGAGAATCAGTGGCGAGGCAAGCTCTCTAACCTAGCGTTCAGGAGAAAGCAGAGAGAACCAAGATTCGTGTACACTTCCCCACCCAGTGTGTCCCTGTGCTTCTTTGGCAGGAAATTGACGACTGCCTGGTCCAAGCGAAAGACCGCAGTTACGATGCCCTCGTGCACTTCGGGAAGCGGGGCTTGAACGTGGCAGCCACGGCAGCAGTGATGGCTGCTTCCAAGGTACCGGGTGGGGCCCTGACCACCACGGCTCTGTGAGCACCTCCATCCCCCAGTCAGCCTGCGCTCCCCACTGCAGCACACCTCAGGAAGGCCAGGGACCACTCGGTAGTCATTCCTCAGCTTTTTCGAGTTCCCTTTAAAAATCTGATGGGGGGGGGGGGGGAATGGTGAGGCATGTCCCTAGAACTCTGCACACACAAGAGAAATGGTGTATGCCATAGTAAGAGATTCCCAGGGGTTCCTGACCCCTCGAGAGTACGCGCGGGAGGAAGAGGAATGGAGGGGGAAGGGACCGGGAGAGAGACTGCTCTCTCTGCAGTTCCTCCCCAGGTGCAGTGGGAGGGTCACCGAAACTCGGAATGGTGCAGAGACTGCCCGAGTGAGTGCTGAGTGGACTCCAAGCATCTAGGGTCCAACAGAGACAGGGACAGGACTCAGGACCCCAGAAAGGAGGAGGAGGAGGACGTGCAAGCAGCCATCCCTGAGATGAAGGAGGCTTGAAAGAAACCCTGGGCTTGGGGGATATTGAGATCTGAGCAGGACCCCTTCTCTCTCCCATGCAGCCCTTTGCCGTTTCCAGGTTCCTTCTAAGCTCACTCTCCTGGTCCTCATGCCCGTTCCTCACTATGGGCCAGCCCTGAACACACAAAGCAGCCAGACATTTATTCTCCATGTAAACCCAGCAGTTGGCATAGAGTTGCCCGGTGACAGGCTCTACACACACACACACACACACACACACACACACACACACACACAAGCCCAAATGTGGTCTCTGGGTCTACAGGAGCTGGGATGGAGGAAGGGCGTTCAGGCTGGTGTTTGGGAAGGTTCAATGGTGGAGGGGTGGATTGTATTAGCAAAGGGGAGCTACCAGCCCTGGATGGTGGTACAAAGGGTAGGGAGAGAGGCAGTAGGGAAAGGACTTGGAAGAGGATGAGTGGTGCAGATCTTGGTGCTCCCTGGGCCTTGAAGGCTGCTGAGATAGCTGGGTCGAGGGGCCCGAGCTGGGTCTTCTGTGCCCTGGGCCAGGAAGAAGCATGTGAGCAGAAGGACCCAGCCCGCAGGTCTGCATGGTTACTTGGGAAGCACCTTCTACCTGAAGTCAAGGAGTTCTGCCAACGAAGAGCAGAAGGAGGGCAAACAGAATGGTTCTTATTTCCAACCAGGAGAGAGAGCAGCACCTGGTCCATCACTTGTCCAGGACTGTAGTGCGGGGTTCCCTCCGCTTACCCACAGTCTCTGCCCACCTCCGTCTAATGCTTGCTGGCAAGTGAGGGCTCCCAGTGATTATCTTTAGAGGGACAATCTGCTGGGATAGCTCAAGGAGATTTACAAAGAGCAGCGGCTGCTAAGAGCCTCCTGTTTGAGATGGAAACCACTTTAAGCCCAAAGAAAGGAGAACTCAGAATTTCCCAGCGTGGAATCCAGAAGGCAATGTGAGCTGCAGGACCCCTCTTTTAGCCCCGACCCCGGACGCTGTCTCCTCTGCTTCCGTACCCTGGAGTCACAGTTCAGTGGTAGAGGATCAGTGGGTGTATCTGCCAGGCCCACTCAGTTATGGGGCCCCTGGTGGCCCTGCCATGTGTATGGAAATTCATTCTGATGGTAACTCCTGCAGGGCCGTCCTTTTCCAGGTCTGCCTCAAGCTGGAGCCTCCAGAGTCTTGATCCCGTCTGGGTCCGTGGTTCCTAAACAGCCACCGCCTGCCCCTCTGGCTGCCCGGGGCGCCCCTGCACCCAAGACTTCTCCAGCCAGGCACCAAGCACCCGCTAAAACCCGAAGGAAGCTCCAGCAGTCTGACACTTGCCTCACGAAATGACTGCCCGTCGAGCGAGGGGCGCCAGCTCTCTGCGGCGTCCGGTTTCAGAGGAGGACATGTGTCTGCTGGTGGGGGCTTTGCGTTTTCCCCTCGAAATAGAAATATCTTGGGAGACAGCGCACATCGTCTGTTCCAAAAATCACGCCCTCTGTATTTGAAACAGTTAGATGGGTACTCAAAAACAAAGTTAAATGTAGCCTGGCTGGGGCTAGCGCCATGGTTTCCATAGCAACTGCACAGCACTCTAGTAGAGGTCGAAGGACCACCCATGACTCACTTACAAGGAAGCCCCGGGACCGTGCCCCCCTGGCGGTTCCCACCCATAGCAAGCCAACGCAGAGTGCAGGGCCCCAGGGGTTCCGAGGCGGACATCTCCGCGGAAGCAGACTGCCGCCTCTTTCTCCCGCTGATCAATGGGCAAATTCAAACCAACACCCCACCCCACCCCCACTTGAGTTAGCTCAGCGCTTTAGCCGCTGCACCACCGGGGCTCCTTGCTGTCTGGACCAGAGGGTTCAGATCTCCTTTGCTTGTTCAAGCCACTGGGAAGCCCCGGGTTTTGTTTGTTCGTTTGTGTTTAACATTCCCAGTTGTGCCTAATCAGAATCTCGGGCAGTGGGCCCATGAATCTCTCTTTTGAACAGGTGGGCTAGATGGATTCTAAACAACCGCCTTGCACCCGGCCCCATAAGGGCACGGGCGATTCGAGTTAAAACACTCAACTTCCCGTTCCTGGCATGCAGGTCTATCCGCTTTTGAAGCATTGGGCATGAGAATGAGGACAATGCAGAGCCCAGCTGGGAAGCAGGATGGTCGGGGCACAGAGCCCTTCCCCTCCTTGGTGGCCACTGTGCCCCCAAGTGCCTAGCTGAGCTCTTAGCTACTTATTGATTGCATTGAGGGAACAGACGGGAGCCTGGTGGTGTAGTGGGTATGCGTTTGGCCACAAACCACAAGGTTGATAGTTCGAAATCACCAGCCACTCCTCAGGAGAGAGACGAGGCTTTCTGCTCCCACAGGGGCAGTTCTGCCTTGTCCTGTAGGGTCGCTGCGAGTCAGCAACGGCTCGATGGCAGCGAGTAAAGGCCACAGCCTGGCAGAAAGAAAGCTCAGGTAGTCTACTGCTGAAAAATCAGCCTCGGACGGAGCAACCTGTTCATGGCTTCATTTTTACTTTCTGGGGCCCTGCCTGCCTCCCCAGAAATCAGGTCCCACATTAAGTGCCTACAGCATTTGGCAGGATGGACGTGAGAGAGCTAGTGAGTTTGAGTGAGCTGGTGGCAGCAAAAGACTCTCAGGTCGGAGGGGACTGGGTGAGGTCCTGGTGCAGAAGCCATTCCCTTCCCCACCCCCACCCCCACCCTCACCCCCAGGCAAGCTCCCTGCATCTTCTTCCACCCTTTGGTGGCTTCTCGTGGTGAAACACCGAACTAAAGTGGGAAAATCAAAGATCTTTTGCCTGTACTTCCATTGGTTCTTTTAGGATAAATAATGTTGAGCCTTTGTCCCTAATAAAATGAATGTTTGCAGTGTTGTCCCCCTCCCCTGCTTTGTGAATGTGAAGAAACTGTAAAACCTATCACTGTACAAATATAAGTTCTTAAGAACAACACTATCTTAAAACTAGGAAAACTAAACAAAGAAAATAGACATGGGGAATTTCTTCCCAGGCCCAGGAGCCCCATTCAACCCCGAGTTTTCTCCAAGGCACGAACACTACCCCAGAGCCATGTGGATCCGTCTTTTCTTCCTGTGAGAACACTCTTCTCTCAACATCGTCCCGCTGTCCTGGTCTCTCCGCTGTCCCTGCTCCTAGACATCAGCTGTTTCCTAGCCCAAACATTTCACCCAGGGAACATGGCGCGCAGGTCTTTCTACAACTCGAATTAGTTCTCTCTATTGGGAAAAAAACCCCAAAGAAACAACACTCTAAAAATGCATTTATTAAGCAAAACACATTCTCACTTGATAGAGAAATCACAGTGAAGGAAGAAAGAAAAAAATACAGATGGAGCAAAAGTTTTGAAACTGTGAAGTATATCTAATGACCCTATTCTGCTTAACATTGAAATGGTATAGAGGACTTTCAGCCTGCCCCGTCCTCGGAGCTGGCTCTAAACCAACCTTGCTTTTTGTTACCTGTGGCATGTCTTGAAAATTTATATTTCATTTCCGCTTGGAGATTCTCCGCTAATGTAGTTCAACTGGGCCGATATTGTTGTGAAAGTCACCGGCTGCCTTCCCTGGACTGGAAATTGGAGTTTCTCCAGATGGCTTTCAGATGTGAGTGTGTGGCGCCCCTTCCCCGAGCATCTAGTCTTGCCTGTGAGCTTGTTTGCTGCTTGAGTTAAGGGGCTCTGTCATCTTTTCCTTTGTGTCTTGAAATGAGATAAAAAAATAAATAAACACTTTCTAGTTGTCTCGTGCTTTGCACTCATTATTGTTCATTGAACCTTGTTGGTTGATCTGAAGATTAAGGCTCTTTGGTGCCTCTGTTCTTGGTGGTAGCTAGAGTTAGTTATCTGTTTATCTAAGAGGCCATCCCTGCCTTGCCAGGGTCCCATGTAGATAAGTGCTACTTGCCTGCTAACATTATATCACTTTGCTCTGACTTTAAAATGATTCGGTCAACACACACCTTTCCTCACTGTGTACAGCAAATTCATCACAATCACCTTCCCTCGTTGCACGTGAAACTTTGACGTCATTGAAGAGCTGGTCTGATCTTTTCTTGTGCTAAACCCAAACTGCTGTCCACTCTAGAGTAGAGCTGCTCCATAGGGTTTCCAAGACAGTGCAGCTGTACTGGCGCAGACAGCCTCATCTTTCTGCCACAGAGCAGCTAGTGCATTTGAACCACAGACCTCAGGATTTTAGCCCAACCCTTAACCCACTGTGCCACTAGGGAGGGCTCCTTTTTTTCTTGCACTGAAGTAAGGCCAAGTAAGAACCATATGCACCTATTTAACTTTCTTTTTTAACTTGTGGATTTAGTGAAGGCTCACAGAACAAATCCGTTTTCCACTCAACCATCCAGTACTCATTGTAATCCTCTCAATGTAGCTTCACTGACCCCACTTCCTTCCTTTGCTTTGTTTCTGTTCCCCCGTCTGTCCCGACCCTTCTGAACTTTGTCCTTGGGTAAATGCCGCCCATAGGATCTCAAATGGTTATTCCA